CAAAGTGCTCCGGTCACAATTCCGTTGTATTTAAATAAATGGACGGCGATTAGTCCCAAGTGTCGAGAATGATCTGAAACTTATTTTTGAGGCTATCCTAGTATGGGTTAACATCGTGGATCGAGCACTTTTTTCATTTGATCAACAGTTTTACCGGAATGAGAAAGTGGCCTTTGATCTTCAAGGGCTAATATCTCCGAAACTAAAATAATTGGAGATGTCTAAATAAATCAAATCATCGTCATTTAACCAAAGCTATCAGAAAAAATAGTTTTTTGGCCTTAAAATACAGTCACTTTTGCTAAAAATAGTTTGACAATGTTTGATGAAATAGTATTTCATTCGAGCAAGCATAAAACATTTGGGTGTTTATAACTTGAGTGTAGTATAACTTTTAATTAACTTTAGTCTCAGCTAGACCATCACTTTTTAAGGCCAAAAAACTATTGTTTCTGATAGCTTTGGTTAAATGACGATGATTTGACTTATTTAGACATCTCCAATTATTTTAGTTTCGGAGATATTAGCCCTTGAAGATCAAAGGCCACTCTCTCATTCCGGTAAAACTGTTGATCAAACGAAAAAAGTGCTTGATCAACCATGTTAACCCATACTAGGATAGGCTCAAAAATAAGTTTCAGAACATTCTCGGCACTTGGGACTAATCGCCGTCCATTTATTTAAATACAACGGAATTGTGACCGGAGCACTTTGGATATTTTTTTAACAAAACAAATTTAATTTTCTGTAAGGGCATGAAAAGTTGTCGATAAAATAAAAATTTTATGATCTAAAAACTCATCGTTGCTGAGAAAAAGTGACCTGAAGTTTTAACTTCGAACTCGATTTTCTCGAAAAGGTAAGACTCTAGAACACCACCGTTCGCAAATCGTCTTGAAACTTTTTCAGTGTATAGCCCTTAACATATAGGTCATACATATGGATGGAATTTCTGCGGAAACTTTTGGTTCAGAAGATAAAGATAATCAAAAATACATTTTTACATAGGAGTCTATGGAGAAAATAAAAGTTTTCTACAGCATGTCAAAAAATTTCTAGAACAATGTATTTGATACCATGTATATATAGGTATGATGAGTTCATGTAAAAATTCAAGGTTCTGGGTGCCTTGTGTAGGTAAAATTGCATGAAAAGTGTATTTTCAATGTTTTCTTAGATTACTATTGAACCGTGAGTCAGGCACACTCAAAATTTAGTGCATATTATTCTCAAGATCAAACTTACTAGTCAAGGTCATTTCAAGGTCATCGAAGGAGTTTCAAATTTTTAACCTGTGAACAGCAATTTAATTGTGTTGAAGTTAAGGAGGATGGTCGCCGAATTTTAGTTTTGAGTTAAGAGTTGAAACTTTTGTATTAGAATACAAATATGAAGTCCAAATATATTTATTTTTTTCTGATCTGATCAGTAGTTTTCGAGAAAATCGAGTTCGAAGTTAAAACTTCAGGTCACTTTTTCTCAGCAACGATGAGTTTTTAGATCATGAAATTTTTATTTTATCGACAACTTTTCATGCCCTTACAGAAAATTAAATTTGTTTTGTTAAAAAAATATCCAAAGTGCTCCGGTCACAATTCCGTTGTATTTAAATAAATGGACGGCGATTAGTCCCAAGTGTCGAGAATGATCTGAAACTTATTTTTGAGGCTATCCTAGTATGGGTTAACATCGTGGATCGAGCACTTTTTTCATTTGATCAACAGTTTTACCGGAATGAGAAAGTGGCCTTTGATCTTCAAGGGCTAATATCTCCGAAACTAAAATACTTGGAGATGTCTGAATAATTCAAATAATCGTCATTTAACCGAGGCTATCAGGAGCAATAGTTTTTTGGCCTTAAAATACAGTCACTTTTGCTAAAAATAGTTTGACAATGTTTGATGAAATAGTATTTCATTCGAGCAAGCATAAAACATTTGGGTGTTTATAACTTGAGTGTAGTATAACTTTTAATTAACTTTAGTCTCAGCTAGACCATCACTTTTTAAGGCCAAAAAACTATTGCTCCTGATAGCCTCGGTTAAATGACGATTATTTGAATTATTCAGACATCTCCAAGTATTTTAGTTTCGGAGATATTAGCCCTTGAAGATCAAAGGCCACTTTCTCATTCCGGTAAAACTGTTGATCAAACGAAAAAGTGCTTGATCAACCATGTTAACCCATACTAGGATAGGCTCAAAATAAGTTTCAGAACATTCTCGGCACTTGGGACTAATCGTCCATTTATTTAAATACAACGGAATTGTGACCGGAGCACTTTGGATATTTTTAACAAAACAAATTTAATTTTCTGTAAGGCATGAAAAGTTGTCGATAAAATAAAATTATGATCTAAAACTCATCGTTGCTGAGAAAAGTGACCTGAAGTTTTAACTGAACTCGATTTTCTCGAAAACTACTGATCAGATCAGAAAAAAATAAATATATTTGGACTTCATATTTGTGGCCCTACAAATACAAAAAGTTTCAACTCTTAACTCAAAACTAAAATTCGGCGACCATCCTCCTTAACTTCAACACAATTAAATTGCTGTTCACAGGTTAAAAATTTGAAACTCCTTCGATGACCTTGAAATGACCTTGACTAGTAAGTTTGATCTTGAGAATAATATGCACTAAATTTTGAGTGTGACTCACGGTTCAATAGTAATCTAAGAAAACATTGAAAATACACTTTTCATGCAATTTTACCTACACACCAAGGCACCCAGAACCTTGAATTTTCACACATGAACTCATCATACCTATATGTATACATGGTATCAAATACATTGTTCTAGAAATTTTTTGACATGCTGTAGAAAACTTTTATTTTCTCCATAGACTCCTATGTAAAAATGTATTTTTGATTATCTTTATCTTCTGAACCAAAAGTTTCCGCAGAAATTCCATCCATATGTATGACCTATATGTTAAGGGCTATACACTGAAAAAGTTTCAAGACGATTTGCGAACGGTGGTGTTCTAGAGTCTTACCGAAATTTTTGATGAAGATGAGTATATACAATGGAATGATTCAATTTTTTTGCGTTTTTGCAATTTCTTGATTTTTTTGTTTTTTGTAACTTTTTCTCATGAAGATACTACTATATATATACATGATTAACGATCTTGTGAGGTCCAATAAGCTTTATCTGCGTCGCTGACTTCCGCACTAGCCATAATTGCCGCTATTCGCTGTTTTATTGTGGCGAATACATCCTTCATGAATTTCAGCGTAGCTGAGACTCGCGTTATTCTGGGATACAGTATGCTTAAATCATATATGCTCATTAGGAACCATATATGCCTCGAATAAACTCTCCGTTGAACACGAGTTAGGTGTTCATGAAGATCTTCGTAGTTTCCAACCAAAGAAAACATTCTTCTGAGGACTTTCCTTATAGCTAAATAGTACATGAACATACTTCGCGATGATTTTATTTTACTTTCAATTCTAACTAGCTGTTGGACACCGCTCTCTACGTTGGCAATTGGGATATCCTCTCTTTCCGCATCTTCATTATAATTATTTAATGATTCTAAGAATATACCCCAATGGTCTATGTTTCTCTCTCGAGGGACTCTTGCTCGGCGCGGAGCGACGTTAGATTGCGCTACCTCTTCGACCCCAGCAATGGGAATATCTTCCTCATGCAGCTCTTCTGCACACTCTTGCTCTTCCATTTCTTGCCCAAGGAGCCCGTCGATCTCTAAGACGTCTACATAATTGGGGATAATTTTTCTAAATAAATGATTATATCTTTCTATTCTACCTGCTCGATGCTGAGCTGGTAGAGCTTGCATGGGCTCAGTAAAGAAGCTTCTTATTCTATTTGCTAATTATAATGAAGGTTGAATATTGGCCATTGTAAATATTTTCAGTAAATTGTAACAAGACCGATAGCAATACCAAGGGAAGAGTTGGAACAAAAAACCACAAAAAAGGAGGAATATGGAAGTAAACAAAAATCGCGATAAATTACCGAGAAGATCAAAAATGGTCTGGTCAAGTCTGACATTCATATGACTTTTAGTTCTGGCGATATTCAGTGTAATAGCCGTAGTGGATAAAAAACGCCCTGTATATAGCTTTATATACAATGCATACCGAGACGGGGGCAACCCTGTGCGGTTATTTATTGTATATAAAGATATCGTTGATTGTGAATCAACTTTTGTTATAATATGAATAACCGAGACGGGGGCAACCCTGTGCGGTGCATCGTTAGTGTTTACGTGATTTGTTATTACTAATGCTAATATTTTTGCTACATTCTGTATCTTGTTTATTTATCTAGTCAAGAAGATAAAACTAATTTTCAACATCAATAAATAATTAACCGTTGAGATTATTGATTGTAACAATCTTCGACTGACCTTTATACTGGTCATTATCTCACTTATTGTGCAAGGTTATCAAACCATATTAATTATCACCGGTGTGGCAATTGTTTAATCAACTATATGATAGAACACAAAATCCATCGATACTTTTTTCTCATTGATTCTCAGTGTTGAATTTTCATTTTGATTATTTTTTCTGTTCATTTTGATTGAACTTTAAGGTGTCGTCATGTCTTCGTGGATGTCGCTCGTTTCGTCAAGCTTATTGCTCAGAAGGAGAAGGGTCGCCCAATTTTAGTTTTGAGTTAAGAGTTGAAATTTTGTGCATTTGGAGGGCCACAAATATGAAGTCCAAATATATTTATTTATTTTTTCCTGATCTGATCAGTAGTTTTTGAGAAAATCGAGTTCGAAGTTAAAACTTCATGTCACTTTTTCTAAGCAACGATAAGTTTTTAATAGATCATGAAATTTTTACTTTATCGACAACTTTTCATGCCCTTACAGAAAATTAAATTTGTTTTGTTAAAAAAATATCCAAAGTGCTCCGGTCACAATTCCGTTGTATTTAAATAAATGGACGGCGATTAGTCCCAAGTGCCGAGAATGTTCTGAAACTTATTTTTGAGACTATCCTAGTATGGGTTAACATGGTTGATCAAGCACTTTTTTCGTTTGATCAACAGTTTTACCGGAATGAGAGAGTGGCCTTTGATCTTCGAGGCCTAATATCTCCGAAACTACTACTAGTACAATACTTGGAGATGTAATCGTGACTGTGAATGACTCTAAATAAGTCAAATCGCTGTCATTTAACCAAGGCTATCAGAAGCAATAGTTTTTTGGCCTTAAAAAGTAATGATCTAGCTTAGACTAAAGTTATTGGATTATCAAGTATCAACTCGCAAGGCGAGGGACCTTTGACCCTCTTGAATGTCACTACACCATTTTTCAATGAAACTGAAGGTCTAACTGATCTGACAGTTCCACCATATCTACTTGTCTCCTCGAATCGGTCAGTTTACAATTACTCAACTGACCTTATGGATGGGTCAACACTTTTTAGTCTAGATAGTGATGATAATGTCACAATTGTGTCCGTTGATTTGCATATTAAACGTAAATTGGTTTTAATTGCTTTGTCTAATGGAACCATTTGGAAGATTGATAACAATTTAGGCAATCAAGTTGATTCTAAGCCTCGAGTATCCATTTTACCGTTACCAGTTCCTGGTGATCATTGGCCAAGTGCCATTAACAAAATAGCCATTGATTGGGTTCATGATATTGTTTATATGCTTTTCGATTCATCAATTGGTTGTTTCAATTTAGATGAATTAACAATTTCATTCACATGGTGTTTACCTAGTTTAATCAGTGGAGCCAAAGATTTACATGTTGATCCAGTTAACAAATATCTCTATTGGTCCATTTCCAATCCATTTGATAGAAGTGGACTCTACCGAACCTCTTTGATCAAGTTACCGAGGCCCAATTCTGTTTCCAACGGTAAACCGGAAATCATTCGTTTTCTCCGAGATCCATTGACCAAAATATTCACCATTGATTATTCACGAAAACGTATTTACTTTCCTCACAATGAGACGATCTGGTCAACATCTATGGACGGAACCAATGTGACCAATATAAGACCAAATGTTGTCGCCTCTCGATTCAAAGACGTTGCTGGTTTGGTTCACCATGATGATACATTTTACTGGATCTCAGGAACTGAATTGTGCAAGGAAGAGGTTAATCCAGATGGAGAGGAGATTTATCATAATTCATTCGCTTTGGATGACAAATTAATCTCCCTTGTTTTGGTCCATCCAACGGTTCAACCGATGCCCTTTGTCCACTCAACTGCTGACCATGAGATCTTGATTATTCATCCTTCATCTTCAGCCGATTTCAAGACTCTTTGTTTGACTATTCTTGGATCATTAATGTTTTTTATTATTTTGCTTTTTGTTGCCAGAAAAGGTAAAATAATTAACAATTACTAATGAAATGATTACTTAACTGCTTGTCTTGGCTTTAAATCTTTAATTGTTTGCTAATTGCTTGTTTTACTCCTTTTCCTTCCATTAACCACTTTAACCCTAAACCCTTAATAATCTAGTCATGAAATCGCAAACTAATGAGAAAGAAGTTCTCAAGGAATCTGAACGAGGACATGAACGAAATCTAATCAGCTTGACCTTCCAGATCATCCCCATGAAGACAATAGACTCTATCTACCAGGGTAAGTTTATTGCAATTTAAACGATTCACAAAGATACTTGATCAAAGAAAATAATCATTTGATTACTCGTTCATCATTATTATTAACAGAGATACTGGAATAGAAAATGAATTGTCGTCCATCAGATTAATTTCACCAAGCCAATTCAAACAAACAGATCGTTTGGGTTGTGGAGCTTTTGGTCAAGTATTTCGTGGCTTGTTCACTGATCCTGAGCTTGTCGGAAGCCTCGATGCTTCATTGCCCGTTGCGATAAAGGTAATTCTCTTTAATTCTAATGGCTGATCAATTATACCATTAATAACACTAATTGAGTTGATTTTTTCACAGAAATTAAAATCAGATGCATCAGAACAAGAAAAAGATGATTTCATGAAAGAGGCTAAAATCATGGGGAACTTCAAACATCCACATATTCTTAAAGTTCTTGGTGTTTGTCTTGATCCGGGAAATAATTCCATTTTATTAGAGCTCATGGAGGGAGGCGATCTTCTTTCGTATCTTCGAGATGAGAGACCGACAGAAAAGAAACAGTGTGATTTGACTTTAGATGATCTTCTCAGTATCTGTGTGGATGTTGCTAAAGGTTGCCAATATTTGGAAGCGATGCACTTTGTTCACAGAGATTTGGCCGCTCGAAATTGTCTTGTTTCGAGCAAAAACCGTGAATCAAGAATCGTTAAAATCGGTGACTTTGGTCTAGCTCGAGATATTTATAAAAATGATTATTATCGTAAAGAGGGCGAGGGTTTGCTGCCAGTTCGATGGATGGCCCCGGAAAGTTTAGTTTACGCCATTTTCACGACCCAATCGGATGTTTGGTCATTCGGTGTTCTACTTTGGGAAGTTATGACTTTAGGTCAACAACCATACCCAGCTCGTAGTAATCAAGAAGTATTGAACCATGTTCGAAGTGGTGGTCGACCTGAAAGGCCACCAAACTGTTTAGAGGAGATGTAAGTGTTTAAAATCATCCGAGTCGAATAAACTGAACTCTCAATTTGATTGATTTCTCTCTCAATAGGTTCCTTTTGATGAATCAATGCTGGTGTTACAATTCAGACATGAGACCAACATTTATGTCTTGTCTCAATTATCTGGAGGAATTAAAACTTAAATTGTCATCAGGAGACGGAATCATCACAAGTTTTTCAAACCACAGCTACTACACCAACGGTAAATCAGTTGCTTGTTTGTTAATTTACTTTTGCACCATCAAGATTTTATTGAATCCAATCTCCATCTCTCTCTCTTTAATTAATCGTCTTGATTATCGCACTTTCTTTTCTTTTTTTTAATCTAATTGGATATTCTGGTGTCTTTAAATCGCATGTTGTTTCGAAAAATGTAAATCATTAGATTTACGTTCAAGTTGCACTTTTTTCTCTCTCTCTCTCTCTCTCGATCACAATTAACACATTCCCTGTTGCTTTATGCTTTTGTGATGTCCAGTGTTTGTCTCGCTTTTTGTTTCCTTTAATTTTTCTTTGATTGTCGATTAACCATCTAATATAATGTCGATAAAATCTAACACATTGACGTTCGCTGGTGCGTTTTAACCTTCCCCTGCAGGAGCCTTTGATAATTTTGGATTCTATTTGGAAGATCGACTTTTCTCTAGGCCATTAAACGATATCCAAAGCGTTAACTTTCCTTACATCGTAGTTTAACCAATTGCTTGATGATCATCTAATCATCAACTGGATCTCTAACAATAACCGGTGAAACCTTCGGGTCAAAGTAATCAACATTTTATCTGCTTAATTAATCACTTTTCGAACATGAAAATATACGAAACATGCGATTTAAAAGAATTGAAATTATCGTAGAGCTTATGCTCTCCGGTTTCGCTTGATTCTTTGTTAATAGAATATCAGCTTTTTTACTGTACATACTTAGTTTGACGAACACCGCAAATTATTAGTATATTTCTCGTTCTAATTTTAATTTTCTTCGTTCCCTAACAGGAGCATCTTCAGAGTTGAGATTTTCTACCTGTGGAGACTCTAGTGGTTTCAATAGTGCTTTCAATAGTACCATGGACACAGCGACAACTTATTGTGCTTCATCTCGAGCTGAGAGCGTCCATTCAAAATACCTCAACATATCAGTTGATCACGAAGGTTACGAAATACCGATTCCTGGATGTTCAGGTGCTTGTGGCTTGAGTCATTCTTTTGACCAGCAATGTAGACCTCGACAAAGTGATATTGACCATCAAAATGGTCAAATGTTTTCTGCGCTTGTGAATACTCGTCGAAACAATGGGTCTCGTCTTCATTGTACCAAATCTATTAACGGATCACCACCGCCAACATATTCACAGTTATTTTTAAGCTCATCTGCAGGAACGGGAAATGAATCACCAGAGAGTTGCCAAGGCTCACCAGGAGCAATTTCCGAAGTAAATTCAATAACAGATCAAATTAGCGCAGAGACGAGCAATCAAACTGGAAGCACTGAGAGTTTAGATGAAGGTTCTGAAATGACCTCAGTAACAACAGCTCTTCTTAAACCTGGTTTGACCAACCAACATCCGGTTCATATCTATCGTAACCTCAGTGACCTGATGTACGTCAACGATTTGGCATCTCTGTTGGAGACAATGCCGTTACCACTGCCTGCACTGATACCATCATCTTCGAAGCCAAAGCCTATGATAAATGCAGTTTCTAACGCCAATTATGATGAACTTTTTTCCAGAGAAAAGCCAAATGTTGATACGATATTCACCAATTTATACACCAATTGGAAACCACAATCAATATCTCCAGAGCCATTTTCCACCACCAACAATGTAGTCACCGAGCTTCAAACGAATCCTCTTCAACCGCCAAAGGAAAAGGTTCCCATGTGTTCATCGGGACCAACAGTTTCATCTCAAGTTGAATCTGCTGAGAAAGAAAGAGAAAATGAAGAAAAATTAGAACCAATTGATCATCTGGTAGTCAAAAACTATTCTTTTGATGAAACTTGAGACATTGTCTCATCTAATCAACTAATTACAGTTTTCTATTCATTGTTAATCAAAATTTCCAATAAAAAATATTCTTATTGTGTATATATTTTTTTACAAAAATCAAGCCAATGCAAAAGCTCAACATTGTCAATCTTGTTATCATTTAAAATTTCAATAAATATTTTCTATTTTCTGGTATTTTGGAAAAATGTCTCATGTTCTTTTAAACAAAACTGACAATCTACTTACCCAGATTTCCATTCCAACTGAGAAAGTTAACACAATTTCTTGTAATTACTAAGAAAAGATTAAATTAACAAAATATTGGCTCACAAATTAACAGTGGGAAAGAAAAAATTTAGTTTCAGAGAAAACCGGGCCAACATTGGGAAAGGATCAAGATTTGTCCGTAAGTTCAACTTTTCTACTTTCAGTTGACTTTTTTTCGGCTCACGATTAGCGGGATCTTAATTCTAAATTAGAATTTCTAATATTAATTAGTTAATCTGTTAATCACAAACCAGAACAAATAAATGAAAAAGAAAACCAGTGGTGCCATCTACTGGTTTTCTTTTATTCTTTGAAACGAATGAAAAGAAAAGGGGGAGAAGTATAATGAGAATGAGCAGTTTAATGTTGGGTAGGATTACCTTTTCTCCTCTAAATTTTCCTTTAATTAAGTGATTTCTCAGATAAATTTCACTGGTGCTGATGTTTAAATGATATAAATCGAAGGTAAGTAGCTAAGTTATAAAAAAAAAACAATTGAACAAAACACAAATGAACACAGACCCAAACAACGTGCTTTCAGCATTTCTCACAGAAATGAAATGTCTCATCAACTTCTTTTTCGATCTAGATTAATTTTGCCCAAAACTGTATATTTTATTATTTGTATTATATTATTCTGTAAATTATTTTGTAAATTATTTTGTAAATTATTTTGTAAATTATTTTGTAAATTATTTTGTAAATTATTTTGTAAATTATTCTGTAAATTATTTTGTAAATTATTTTGTAAACTATTATTATGTAAATTTAAATCTCCTGTATCTTACGCGGTTGAACATATGACCGCTCGAGGGCAGCACTTTGAGGCTGCTCAGTCGTATGAGGACCGTAAAGGTCCCTCCTTAAGGAGTAATAAAATCTAGGAATCCGAAAAAGTGAAGATAATCATTTTTGGGTTGAGTGTTAATTAGATTTTGTTATTCTAATTTTCTCCTGTTAAATTAATTTTAATTGTTTCACTTACATTGTAAAACTTGATTTCTATTTGTATGTTACTGAGATTGATGATTCTTGCGTTTAAAGTGATTATCATTGATCAATTACAACCTTGTCTTTTGATAAAAACAAACATGATTATGATTTTAATTATGATTATGATTGAGATGATCTCACCAACAATAATAATAATCAGATAAATGAATAAGATTGTTTGTTTACAATGATTATTACAAAGGAGGGTTAGTAAATTAATCAACTGACCCATGAGGGTCATTCATGAGAGTTAATCAAAAGTGATTATCACCGATATTTAATTTCAGTTAACAACGAGATTAAATAATAACTTCCATTGGTTGAATGTCCAATTGAAACAATTAAACTTTCTTTTCTTCAACGATTGTTGATTAACAAACTACCGATCATCTATCATCATCAACGGGATTGCAAACTCTTGCTGTGGACACTGGACACTGGACACAATAGACTAATTGTTTGATTAACAATCGTTAAGATCGGAAAGGGTAACAACCCATAAATTGATTGTTACTAATTGAATAATGTTAATCAACTTGTTTCCTTCAATATTCAATCCCATTGATTACATTCTAACTTCACCTTCTTTTAATTACTTGATTGATTGTTATTCTTAATTACAATGACCTTTTAATACATTGAAAATGTAAATGTACAGTAAATTTAAGTCTTTTGGTATAATCAGTTTCATTTTTGATCATTAACCAGATCAAATTAATTCAATTGCGGCATCAAATGGCTATTATTGTTTTCTTACTGGTATCAAATTAATCATCATTAATAATGGTCAACGTTAATCAATGACCAACAATCAACATTGCAATAGAGTATTTATTATTAATAGTGAATATGTACAATAAAAACAAGAAACCACAGTAATTTAATTCAATCAATCAGAATTTAACTATAATCTCTTCCTTGTTCAATTTAATTTACATGGTTAATTATACTCTTTTCAGACAATAGAGCTTCAATTCAAAATTTCTGTGACTAAATTATCTTAATTGTTTCCATCGCTTTCCAATTTCTCTCTTTGATTATCCACAATTGTTCTGAATCATCATGAAATAATCTTATTCACCGCCAACAATTTAATCCAAGACCATAGAATTAGTTAGTTACCTAGTTGAATTATTTAAGTTAATTTTAATTGTAATGATGGAAAAAAATATTGAAACTTTTTAATCATTAGTTATTGTAAGTATCGAGTGAAAATTAGAACCATCATCGAGCTGTTTAGATTCTGGCTTTAACATTTCTGGAGATCTTTGGAAATCTATAGAATATTCAATAAAGCTGAATTACAATTTCGACGATTCTTTAAATTCTTAGAACGATTAAACTATTTGTTGTTAAAATAAACGTCAATCGAATAAAATGAATATCGATCTAGTTCAAAATGATGAAGAGATTTAACCTTGTGGATTTTTTATCAATTAAAACAGAATTTGGATCAAAATCAGATTCAATTAATCGTCTAGTTTAGCCATGAATGAGAAATTTTTTTATAATTTTCCATGAGGGTTGATAATGAGTTTAATTCATGGAGCAAGTTTGTTCCTTGAATTTCCTAAATAGATGCATGATGATCTTAAAATTTTGAAAAATTCTTGCCAGATACTTGAGTGTCTATGATGTTTTCTCAGAGCAATAATAATGATGAATATTATTTTAAACTTGGGTCAATAGGTTTTGGCTTTGAGCCAATGTTGATTTCGTTTGTTGATTGTAATTGTAATTTAATTATGTTAATAATGATGACTTGTAAACGAAAGACTGGATCCATTGAAAGATCAATAATTCAAAATTTTGTTCATTTTTCACGGGAATCAGTTACTCAGAATAAACAATTCTGACAAGTGAATCGAATTCATATCAATTAATGCAATTGAAATCTTCTTAAAGTCTCAGAAAACTGAAAAATATTCTATTTAGACAATTAAGTTGCAGAAAGTTAATGAATTTTTTAATTTGGTTGTAATTACCTAATTTTTTTCTTTATTTCCACAGCAATTGTACCACTTCAATATGGAACCAATAAACTCGCTTCTCAAAAAGGCATTCGATTTGGTGGTGCTCGTGACATCTTGCCCAATGTTCAATACAAATCAACCGATAAGCCTGAGGAATAATTGTCTTAACCACAATCAAACTGTTAATTATAACAATTATCACCAAAGAGCAAAAATAAAGAGAAACTAACAATTTCAATCAATCAGCTTGTTAAGATCAATCAATGGATGAAAATTAAAACCAATCGACAATATTGATGGAAACAAATATCCGAAATTTAATAATATTCAATGATAAAAATTAATACTTTTCATTCAATACAATCAATTTATTGGATAATCACAATTATATTTAAGAAATAAGAAGACAAGTCCATCATTGTCAACAATCAGTTTTAATTGCTTTCGAAAGTCTTAAACTGACCATTTAATTTTCTGTTTTGCCTTAATGTTTACCTGTTATCTGAAAACAAAGATTGTAATCGATTAAATCAAGTGAACAATTAAAAAAGTCACAAAAGTAATCACAATTAACGTTCCAGTCATTAGCGATAACATCAGGTCTTCAACCTTTGTCCATATGAGCCAATCCTAATACTTAATATTACTAAATAGTAATCAAAGAAGCGTAAGAACAAGTTATTAATACAATCAAGTGAGTGATTAAGTAATAAATATTTGATTAATTAACATTGATAATCTCAATTTCATATTTATTTTTATCAATAGTTGATCGCGATTTAGTTAAGTAAAGGATTAGCTTTGCATCGTTGATGATTAGCTTAGGATATTAGGATCAATTGATCAGATTAACAGATCTTATAACTTATCTAATCATTTCCTTGTTTAATGATTACTGATTTAGTTTGTATTATCTAATGATCGTAATTAATACAGATACAAAGCTGATTTGATTGATAATAATCAAAGTAAATCTTTGGTTATTAAAAAAACAAATAATAGAAACTATTGCTAATCACCTAATCGTTATACAACAATTAAGATGATTAAATTTAAATCCAAAGGGAGATTATCAACTCAGATTGAAGGGTAAGTTTATTCTCACTTGATTGTATTAATAATGATAAAGTAAAATGTTGATTAAAGTAAAGGTTAATTTGTTTGAGCATAATTGGTTAACCTGGAGCAATTTAATTATAATTTAAAAATCAGAAATGAAACAATTGGCAGAAAGCTCAACTAGTAGTAGTCATGATTAACTAAAGTGATAATTTAATCAAGTTAAAACGATTAAATATGCAAATCAATTCCATGAATATAATGAGATGAGTTATCATGGTTGAGAAAATTGTGATGATTTAATTGTTGATTGAAACTTAATTGTTATTCCTGTGTGAAAACTAACAATTTGTTTGTTCATTAATCAATTTGAAATAAATAACAAAGTGTGATTCTGATCAACAAGATGATGAATTCGATAACGATGATACAATCAATTAAAAGCCATTTAATCACAATGAGACAAATGATTAAAACTTATTTGAATATGTCTATCAAATCAATAATAATCTAATGAGAATCAAGAAAATTGTTAATGATTAACTTTTATTGTTAATCGATTGATAAAAATAAATAATCTTTCTATGGAGACTGAGGTCATCTTTTTATCCAAACTGACCTTCAGAATTGACCATGATATTGATAAACATGTAATTCCTTTCAAATTAATTCCTATGGTGAAATACTGATTATTGTTTCCGATGAAAATTTTCAACGAAAAATTATCAACATTATAATTTGATGGCGATTATGATGATTACCTTGAAAATTTGAAGAATTAAACTTTTTTCGTTTAGTTCATGTTTTGATTGAATTTCTACTGAGAATTTAATTGTCGAGTGTAACCATTTGTTTATTAACTTTACGATAGTTTACTCATTGAACAAACATAATTAAACTAAT